TCATCGTTGAAATTTGATCATTTGGTTTTTTTTTTTTAAGGCTAAAGGTTATGTGATTGTGAGGTGAATATTGGAGTTGATGGTGAGGTTTATCTAGACGAAATCAAAGAACAAGCTGGCCCAAAAGTTGGTAAGGCTCTCTCTCACTCCACATCCGATGCAAACGCATACAGAATATGACCATTACAATAAGAAAGTTGGTTGGACTTTCGAGAAGTTTAAATATTTAAATGAAAGGCTTTTGTTTATATCATCAACATAGTTTTTTTTTTTTAAAAAAATATTAGAAACTTATTATTTGAAGCTTAAGTTATGGAAGCACGCTCAATAAATCTGTTAGGGTATGTCATATATTTTTGGTGAGATTTGAGATGGATCAAATTGTTCATTGGTTTTCATTGTGTTGATTGGTTGAATATGAATTAAGATTTTAGATGTTAGTGCAAGTACGAATAGAATCATAATATCTTGATATCTTGAACTCTTGAATATAGAAATGATAATGTGGTGGGTCTAATTCTTGATATATAGACAGAAATGATTCTATGCTTACTATTATATTTAATTAATGCGTTCAAAGATATAGGAATAGGCTAGGTGATCTCTGTGTTCAATCTGTGCAGCTGCTGTGCAATTTGTGCAACTACACAGAAATGATGTGCAATTGTTGTGCAATTGTTTTGCACTCTTGCAAATGGAGTGATGATGGACGTTTGACGTTATTGTAGATGTTAATGTGGATGTTATTTCGGTTTTAATGTTTATGTTTTTTTTGGATTTGGAATAGCTCCTGTAATCTGTCTGTGCAGAAGTTTGAAGCTTGAAGCAGCTCTTGTGATTTTTGAAAACGTCTGTGCTGCTGCAATGATGTTGTGCACTGCAGTGCAATTTTATAAAAATGTATTTTTGAAAAAAAAGAAAAATAGAGTTGGACCCATGTACCCACCCCGGACCGGCCCATTTGAAACTAGCCGAGTTAGGTTCGGTTCCAAAACTTAAAATCTCTCTACCCGGCGTGGCCTGCCCCTTTCCAGTTTATAACGTGTAGAGTCAGGTTCGTCTAAATTTGGGCCCGGCCCGACCCGTGCCCACCCCTAGGTTGATGGTTCTCCAAATACTTTGATGATTATTTTTTGGAGTCTTATTAATGGCTAAATTATTATCCCAAATACATAGCTACAGATCTTTTTTTAATGTAAGCTTTAATGAAAATGGCTTGAGCCAACTTTTATTTAACCAAAAACCACCATAAATTATTATTTAACTAAGAAAACCTAAAATTTAACCATAAGGACAAAGATTGCAAATTATGCACGGGCTGACTTAGAAAGCCCAACAGCTGAAAATATGACTTTGCATAATTACCCCCCAATAGAAACTAACCCAGCCCGTTACAAACCTTAGAATATTTACAATTGTGCCAACACCTTCTCACCAACCTCCATTAATGTAAAACCATCACTAAACCATAACTTCCATCTTCTACGTCCAATTTTGCAAACCATTAAACTCCTTTCAAACGCCAATAGCACAAATGTTTTGATCATGGAATTATCACTACATTAGCTAGAGCTACATGATTATGACCCTACAGAGTCTGCCCTAATTGTGCTTAAAATCTCTTTTAAGTGGATTACAAAGAGAGAGAGTGCATTTTTCATTACTATCTTTAAGTAGTGATAGCGCTCATTACTCAACTTATTACTATTTGATGAATTAAAATTTTAAGATTCATATCAATCAACTACACATATTTCGAAATTTAAAATCATTTAACAGTAATAAACAGGATAGTAAGTATCATTGTTACTTAAAAAATTGAGAGAAAAAATTTCGCAAAAAGAAAGGAACCATGTTTAAGCGTGCTAAATATAAAGATGGCTATTTAATTATGGTGGTTTTTAATGGGACACCCCATCAGTCAGATCACTTGCGGCCACTTTACCCACCAAATTGCCCATTCGTTTCTATCCTAATCCAATGACTGTTGTCACTTTCATTGGATACACAAAATCTTCCTTTCAGACTAATTAACTCTGTGGATTTTACTATGGCTTCACATATGGACCCAAGCATGACGCAAAATTCTAGAGCAGGATGAAACGGGGAACCAAATTGCACAAGAAACAGAAAATTCGTCACAGCAATCTGGCAAAAAAGAGATGCTAATCTCATATTCTTGTAAACATTTTACTTCCAAAGTACAGTAATATGTTTTCATGTTTGTGATTCCATAAACTGATCAATTTTTCTATAAAAAAAAAAAAATACAAAATGATGAATTTTGTTTTTACTTCACTTTGATCACTATTTTATTTTTTCCAGATATAGAAATAATGAGTGTTTTCTTCAGTTTTATAAATTGTATGTTTTTGCACTATTTTCTCTATAAAAAAATTGGTTTGTTAATTGAGTGTTTTCTTCCCATCAAAATACAGTGTGGGTTATTTTGGTTCAATTTCATAAATTGTGTATAATTTTTTGATGGTTCCAGCATTAATCTGTGTTATTTTTTGTTCAAATCCAGAATTAGTGTGAGTTATTTTGTTGTAATTTCAGAAATAGTGTTTGTTTTGTTCCCTTCCATAAATAGTGTGGCTTATTTTGGTTAAGTTTCAGAAATTATGTGAGTTATTTTGTTGTAATTTCAGAAATAGTGTGCGTTCTTTTGGTGCAGTTTCATAAATAATGTGAGTTATTTTGGTGTAGTTTCAAACATAATGTGGGTTATTTTGGTTCAATTTTCATAAATGGTGCGTAATTTTGTTGTAGTTTCAAAAATACTATGAGTTATTTTGGTTCTTTTTTAGAAATACTATTGGTTATTTTGTTGTGGTTTTAGAAATAAAGTTTATTTTGTTACCTTTTAGAAATAGTATGGGTTATTTTGGTCCAAATTTAGAAATAATGTGAGTTATTTTGTTGTAGTTCCAGAAATAGTGTGAGTTATTTTCGTTCAGTTTCAGAAATAGTGCTAGTTATTTGCTGTAGTTTTAGCAATAATGTGGATTATTTTGGGTCAATTTAAGAAATAGTGTGATTATTTTGGTGTAGTTCCAAAAATAGTGTGAATTATTTTAGTTCAATTTTAGAAATAGTGTGATTATTTTAATGTAGTTTCAGAAATAGTGTGAATTATTTTTGTTTAGCTTCATAAATATTGTGGTTATTTTGTTGTAGTTCCAGAAATAGTATGAGTTATTTTGGTTTACTTCCAGAAATAGTGTTAGTTATTTTACTATAGTTTAAAAAATAATGTTTATTTTGTTCCCTTCCAAAAATAATGTGCATTATTTTGGTTCAATTTCAGAAAGAGTATGAGTTATTTTGCTGTAATTCAAGAAACAGTGTGCGTACTACATTATTTATAAAACTGAACACATATACTACACTATTTATGAAACTAAATATTGGTAATATCACTATTTCTTAAATCGAACGCTAACTATTTTGGAAACTGAACATGGGCACCACACTATTTCTGAAACTGAACATTGGTGTTATACTACTTATGAAAATGAACACCGGTACTATTACTATTTCTTAAACTGAACGCTAACTTGTAAAACCGAATATGAATACTATACTATTTCCAAAACTGACAAAGACATGATCAGACGCCTAACTTGCGATTCGAATACAAATTTTCACATACTTCCAAGATGGCTTGGGTAGACTCAATATATAATTAATTACTAATTATAATAGCATCGGCAAAACCTTGTTTATAAGTTGTCTCAAAAGACTAAATGATAATTAGTTTCAAGTGTGGACCATCTCCATATGGGTTTTGGTTAAAAAAATGTGCTTTATAATATTAAAAAGATGTGATTTATGATAAGTAGAAAGCTAGCTTCCTCTATTGGCAGCCTCTTTATAATTTCATATTTGTATTTTATAATAATAAAAAGATGTGCTTCCCCTCTTGATAACTAGGCTCATCTTTAACTACAAGGTCAACCAAGTTTGCTTCCACATCGTAGGCCTCCTTGCGAATGATGGTGTCGTTCTTGTGGTTGGAATTGTTGGTGTAGCGAAACTCGAACTCTAGGAACTCGTGGCCGAACTTGCCCTTGTGGCCGACGTAGTACCTCATGTAGAACTCGTCGGTCTCTTCCTCTCCGGCTATCTCCGTCTCTCTAGCTTACTTTTTGTCTCTCTTCCTTCATCCTCAAAGGTTCCTAATATGGTGATTCGAAAAAATGGTGGAATTCAAATGGAATGGAAAATGAAAACAGAGATGTGGAGAGATCGAGAGAGAGGTAGAGAGATCAATTCGATTACAAAAGTGGAGGAATTGTTTATGTGCAGAGTAGAGATCAAGATTAGGAGATTAAGATTAGGCAGAGAATTCCCTTACATAAACTTATTACCTGGTTTTTTGTTAAGATTTAAAAATTTGAAGCCATTTTCATTAGTTTTTATATTTTTTAATATATTTGGTTCAGTAACATGATTGATTATTTAGTGTAAAAATGTAGTTTTTCGTTGAAGTGAACAATACCGGAAGTTTTTCGTTAAAGTTCCCTTAGATAAACTTATTACCTGGTTTTTGGTTAAGATTCAAAAATTTGAAACCATTTTCATTAGTTTTTATATTTTTTAATATATTTGGTTCAGTAACATGATTGATTATTTAGTGTAAAAATGTAGTTTTTCGTTGAAGTGAACAATACCGGAAGTTTTTCGCTAAAGTTCCCTTAGATAAACTTATTACCTGGTTTTTGGTTAAGATTCAAAAATTTGAAACCATTTTCATTAGTTTTTATATTTTTTAATATATTTGGTTTAGTAACAGATCTAGTCTAATTCTTCTTTGTGTGTTTTCTCCTCCATATAGACGACTTTCTACACTAATTCAGACTAACAAATTCTTCGATAATCGTTAAATGTTTGACAAATTCTTAACTTATCTTGTACTCCAAGTTTCTCCAGAACATCATAGAAATTTTTGTTGTTTAACTTATTGCACTCCTTTTCCTCGTCAATTAACCCAAAAATTAAAGTAAAAGATGGAGCAAGTTTTTCATTAATTTCATCAGAAACACATAATATGATCCACCAAGCCAACACAGCATATAAATATCAACACTACTACTTTATGTACAAAGCAAACAGACAACAAGAAGCCATAATTAACCTAGGATCGCCCTCACCAGATCCCAGCCCAGTAGGACCTGCACCTCAGAAGAAGCCATGGCTGCTTTATTCTAAAAACACGACCTTGGTAAAGTTGGATCATAATTACGACACACACGTACATATATATTACTGCTAAACATATAAGCCCCACGATTCTCTTGCTTCATCAGAAGGTGGCATCTGTCCCTCACTTGCAGTTGCAGGGGTTGCAGGCGCAGTTGTCTCCGCACTTGCATCCGCTCTTGGCAGCAACTCCCATCTCAGATGCCTCCGGGTGACTGCACATCAAAATTACAAAGCAAATGTTACGATTCCGAAACAGACAATACGTCGTATATAAATCAGGGTTTAATGACGTTTTTTTCTCTCCATACTTCCCAAAATCATACCGATCGCGGAACACAGACAATAAGCCGTACATAAGTCACGATTTTGTTTCCTTTTACTGTCGTTTTGTAACTTTTATTGTCGGTTTAGTGTCTCCATGTAGTTCTGGTTCTCCGTATGTCCCAATACTATAACCACAAAATCGGCAAATTACAAATTACAAATATAATTTGGGATTTCATTTCCGAGAGATGAGAAGACGTACGACTTCTGGGGAGCAACTTCCGTGACGAGGGTCTCAGTGGTGGACCCCTCCTTGTGGCTCAGATCAGGAGGCATCTCACACCTGAACAAAAACCCACATAGTCAAAAAACCCAAAACACAGCAGAAGTTTTCTGGGATTTTCTTTTTCAAGATTCTCGGGAAACAATCAGAAAGTTAGAAAGATTACCCGTTGCAGTCACTTGCGCAGCTGCAGCTGGGCCCGCAACCACATTTACCACCGCAGCGCGTCGACATTTTTGGAATTGGAGATGGAAAATTTCACAACAGAAAGTTTGATTGAATTGATGATAAAGAAGCAGACAACCACAAGCTCTGTTTTGAACGAGTAATCATGGGAAGCCATGAGCTTCAATTTATAGTGCGGTGGAGGAGAGAGAATGGTTGATATCTACCGGGCGTGATCGGACGTCATGTCTATCCCATGCATTGTCGTTTCTCCCTCGAATAGTCTTTATGGTGGTTTTGCATAAGAGAGATTATATTCATACATCCTAAATTACTTATTTCATATCCTTTTAATTTTTTAATATTTTTCTATTAAGTATTAGTGGTGTGTAAAAAATATTAAAAAATTAAAAAAATGTGAGAGAAGTAAGGGTGTGTGAATATAATTTCTCTTACATAATTACGTATGGGGTGGGGAATGTCTCTGGTGTGTTCTCGAATGTACCCTTTTCTGTAAGTGTATCCACCGTTGGATTGTTGACTGGGGTGATTGAAAGGTGATCAACGGTTGCGACGGAGTTGATTTGTATGATTTTTTTGCCATTATGGCTTTACCTCTTAAATCGTATGGCTAGGATGGAAGAACTTGTTGTGCGTATGGAAAATATTTCATTTGGTATATTATTTTCACGTATATACTATAATATGTGTGAACTGTTATAGGCATAATTCATTGAATAATTTTGGAGGTCAGAGAGAGAGGAAAAGATGCAGCATAGAGAGAGAACGAGAGAGATATGCAATTGTAAGGCGTGTTCTACTCCATCCCATTGTGCCTTTATTTATAGTAGTAGGGAAGCTTAATTTCTTACCCTTTTAGGATTATAACTCTTAATAGGTAATTAACTCCTAATAGGAATATAAGAAATATTCCAAGATATACTAGGATTTATACAATCACATTCCTAATCTAATAGGACTGCAACACTCCCTCTTGAATGTGTAAATACTCAAGTAAATAGCGCATCAGGTCTTCTGTGATGAAGCAAGTATAGTTGATAAAGTCGTTGGCACAATGAGCGAATGCGAGTATCAAATCAACGGAAGAATGCAAAAAAAGTAAAACTCACAAAACCTCGCTATGGTAAAACCCAAGGTGAAAGAAAAACTCATAGACTAAGGAGAAAAATGAGAAGTTATATTAAGTCAAAACTATACGTCTTTTGGACGCAAGTAGAAGAGCTCACAAGGGTATGATCAATCCAGGATGGGTACCTCGTTAAACCTAGTTACGTAGCAAAAACCCAGTGGGAAAAATGCTCTTAATCGTAGGGAAAAAGAGTGCATTAAGATCAAGTGAGTATACTTTTGGATACTCTCCCTAAGTTTGACATAACTTCCAAATGAGAACTACAAGCATTGCATATGATAGTTAGGCATACCAATTCATCGGACAAGCTTCTGGAAGGTTAACTTCAGCAGTGACGTCGTTTAGAGGTCGGCAAGGTTGTCAGGGATCGGTTTGCATGACTTCAATCTTCTGATGCTTTGCTAATGTAGATGTAGACGCAATATGTCTTGGCATTGACTTTGTTGTTGTATCATGTATTGGTTGGGTGGATACATACGACATAATCTTCATGAATCGTCATTGAGACTCAATGATGGATGAAAACAGCAAGTACTTCGAATTTGCTCAACAAAAACTCCTAACCATGTCTCACTTGTGGTGTAGTGAAGTGAGGTGGGTCTTGGAACGATTCAAAGATTTCGCAACTAAGGTCATATTGTGGACCTCCAAGATATTGCGATATCCCTAATGGTAAAGACATAACCATTTGAGGATTTTGTCTTGTGCGGGTTTGATAAGTAACTAGCGTCATCATAACAAATAAGGCAAGCATCATTTTGAGGATTAGGGGGTCAGATTCACTCGAGATGCGTTGGGATTTGATTTGCCCAAATTCGTAGTATCTTCAAGGTACGTCTTTAATACCAATTCAGTGGTTGCGTGTAGGCGCGGTGTTGCATCTTTACTAATAGATCAACAATGAAAGAGATGTCTTGTCTAAATACAATGAGCTAAGTACAACGAAGCTCAAAGTTGAACTTAAATATGGAATTTTGGATTCCATAACCTCTTCAAGGGTCTCATTTGCATATAACGTATGGACGATCAAATGTATACTCAAAAGTGACACTTTCAGGGTGTCATTCGACTGGTAGACCAAAATACCGTCAAAACAATGCTTTGAACTTTAAGTCAATGTATAACGAGTTTTCCTAAGATCCTTCATCTCAAATTCCATCTTCAGGTGCGAGGCAGCTTTCTCAAGTTATTTCGGAGTCTTAGTGAGACTTGTGTCAATGACATAAACTGTAACTCTAGTAATTCAGAATAAGACTTCATAGTTTAACACGCAAGGGCATAATTCATCCCTGACTGATCAAATAATCACTTAGATGGTTATGCCACTTCCGTCAGATTGTAAGTGAACGTCTCAAACAAGTTAAGAATGTGTTATGTGATTTGGAACTATTTGAACCAGTCTATGTAATTCTTTGGGAACTTACATGTAAATCTTCGTATCTATATCCCCATGGAGAAAACACTAACCACATTTCATAATGTTGCTATCAATCACATGATGTTTTGAGAGAAACCTTGCACTGTAAGGCGTGCATTATCTTGCACTATTTCATTCATCTTATAACGCTTTCTTTCCCACTTGTAACACAACAGGGTTACCTTGGGCAGTGTAGGAATGACAGGTCCAAAACACACTTTGGTATGGAATTTAACCTGAATTGTATTTCGGTTGTCCAATCAGTTCTACGTTGTCATTTAATCAACGAAACACAGTTCAATATCGTCACTTTTCATTTATGTCGGTAGTTACCATATAAGTGAAAACATCATCGATGGTAATCTCATTTCAATTCCATTTAGCTCATCCAAACTAGTATACTGGACCAAGAACTTCATGTCTCGAGAGTAATCTGGATTAATCTCATAAAATGGAAATGGTTTGAGACTGCGATCGAGTTTAGATTCATTGTTGTGTTGTGTTTTCCTTTTCTAAGGAAGTGAATCCTATGAGTAATCTATCGTGCTCCAGGCCAAGATAGATTGATTTGCTATCCGCTGGTGTACCGGACCGTCCAACAGGGGTGTCCAAACCGTCCAACAGGCATGTTTGCAACTGTTGACTTGACGTCTGTAAAGTACATCTATCCTTGCAGGCATGTTTGCAGCTGGTATATGATCTTGTCACTTTAGCTAGATTAGAGGAATGCATCTGGAGCAACATTTTGAAAGTTATAAGTCATCGCACTTGCTTATCACACTTGTGCAGTACGGGGATCAAGATGAGACATAGTGGGCATCGTCCACGCAAATTTGTGCCATTCTACAAGAACGTTGACGTTCTTATCTCCCTTTAACGGAGGGAAGATTGCCTTATTAAAGTGACAACCCGCAAATGAGCGGTAAAGAGATAGCGTGCAAGGGCTCGAAAAGAGCTAGTATGAAGGAGAATCATAATCGACAAAGATTCACATCCTTCTTTGAGGACCCATATTGGTACGTTGTGGCGGTGCAACTCGGCACATATAATGCACACCCAAATGCGTAAATACGAAAAACGTCAGGTTCGTAACCAGTAACCAACTGTAACGTCAAAATGGTTGGATGGCAATGGGCCTCAAGGTGGACCAACATAACTGTGTACAAGATTGCATAGCCCTAGGCAGAAACTGAAAACTTGGTACGTTTACCAAAATCTGGGCAATCATTTAAATTGCGCTTTATGACCACTAGGCAAGGCTATTTGGGGTGAACATGAGAATTCGAAGTTCAATTATAAACTCAAAAGACATGCAATACTTAATCGAAAATTGTCGATATAAACTATTCGGCATTATCCAGTCTCCCGGATAAGTAGGGTGGTGAGCCCTTAATCTGCCATGAGGTTTAGCAACAATGTGTGTAGACGAACATGTGACCAGTTTGTCAATTCATCAACCAAAATCATAAGTATTTTTATGATCCGCATTTTGGTTGGATTAGTCCACATATATTCCCCTTGAATCCACTGTGAAAAAAGGGCCGTTTCGTATCTCTGCGAAGGATGATATAAAAATAAAATTTCCCAAATGAGCGGGCTTTGGCAAAGTGTGCTTGTAGGCACAAGATCCTTACTTCGGGTAAGTCCAAAATATACAACAAAATAACAACACCATGTGGCTGTAAATCAGATACAAAGATTGGAACATGCCATACATTATTAAGTGTTGAAATGTAGCCACAAACAGCCTAGCAAAGATATAAATAGTATATACTTGAAATATCTTTGCTTTTTTTTTTTTTTTTTTTTTTTTACCAATAACAACCACCACCACCACCGGCAGGAATTCTATATTAGCCAAGCCACAATGATTGGAGATCCAAATTAAATAGTAACCTTAATTTGGATTATGATGCTAAACGAAGGAAAGGGATCCGAATTTGGATTATGATGGTAAACGATGGAAAGGGATCTCCTGATCCCTTTCCACTTAATCCACCTAGTCCGGGATCCGTGCTGTTGAAATTTGATCCAACATCTACATTTATTATTACTTTTAAAGGAGCTCCCTATTTGTAGCTATTTGATCAAATTTCAACGGCCCGGATCTTGGACTAAGTGGAAAAGGATCCAAAGAGGATCCCTTTCCGTAAACGAGAGTTGATAAGATAATAGTCAAATTAATTTTTATTAATTAAGGTGATTGTGACATTGTATGTTGACTTAAGCCTACTGAGAAAGACTTGTTACCTAACCTAATCTCACTTCACCAGTCATCAAATCAAACATAGTAACAAGTTTTGGTAACCGACTTAAAACGTATGATGTAGACCATTCAATATTACGGTCAGGTGATATTTTCTTTCATTTGTAAGTGAGAAGTTTTAGTTTCAAAATCTCATGAATGGCGAATTCGATATCAAATTAGGTTGCCCATTGTGTGGTTCAACCAAACTTCTCTCTCCTAATAGTATAACATATATTATTTTACTAAAAAAAACGTATGATGTAGAATTCAATTGTGATTATGACACTTAAAAATGATGTAACAATTTTTAAACACAAATTTCATGCAAACGGATGCCTTGAATTTTTTCTCTCATGAGGGATTGCAAAAGTGGTGGGTTCTTCAACTCCAACATCTACATTCATGGGGAACATTTAAAATGATTGCACCAATATCTTGTCTAGTTGTAATAGATATGGGCAAGTAAAGGCTCTCAATTGTCAGCCGTTCATGTTGTGGAAAGAAGAAGTTACAGAATCCTAGATATTTGTTGTATAGTATAATTATAATTAAATTAGAGAAGTATTATTGACACTTCAAAAATCTCATTCTACACTCCTCATAAGTGTATTTTTCTTTCCAAATATAGAAAGTTTGGAGTGTAGAATGAGATTTTTGAAGTATCAATAACAATTCCCTTAAATTAAATTGATTAAAAATTAGTGGACAAGGAAGTATCTTATGTAACCATCATTCTTTTAAGTTTGTTCAAGTTGGATTAATTTAAGTTATATGATTAAGGAGTCATAAAGTGAAAAAACCAAATATTCTCTCAATCACTCTGATCTTAAAAAGGATGGTTGGCTTTTGCGATTGTACTTGTGTCACCCTCATTTAATATAACTTGATTCCAAATCGATTGGATTTTATCAACTAACTCTTAGTCTAGCAATACTTCGCTTATCTAAATATGAGAGAGGTTTCGACTTCGAATCTCCTACTTATATCCTATGCGTATGAAAGAACAAACTCATGATTTAAGGTGAAAAGTGCACCACATAGGCTAAAAGATCTGCCATTGTTAATGCCACATGCGTCTTCTTTTTTTACATTGGGAAGGCCCATCAAACAAGACTGGACAAGATTTGGGGCCACACCTTTTCACCGTAATGGGCAGTCTACTGTGGAGAGAATTCCCAGTATGCTTACTTCATATGTCATCATATAAGTGGAGGAACACTTGAAAAAAAATAGCTTTCCTCTAAGTATAATGACATATGGCGTACTTCCTCATGTTCCAGGCACATTCAAAAAGCTCTCCTGAATGACAATATCTTTGATCTTGTAACTGTGCACTTTTGATGCTCACTAGAGAAAATTTAATGGAAAAAATCTTCAAAAGTGTCACTGTAACTTTTCAAACTTATCATGCGTTATTATGTGTTTTAACTTTATCACATTATGTAGATATTTAGTTTGATACATTGTCATCTTGACTTCTCTTTGTTTTGTATGTGTCCTCGTAGATTAGGGATGACAATTCAAACCGTTAAATCTGATTAACCATGGATAGCCCGTCCAAAAAGAATGGATTTGGGGATGAAATTCGAAAATATTTTGGATATGGGGAAAAACTGAAAATATTATTAGGCTATGATTTCAGATTTGGATATAAGGGTCTCTGATCAGTATCTATCCCCGAATCCACGCCGAATAATACTTATTAAGGATATAATATAACTTGTACATAATATAATATAGTATTGTATAATATATATATATATATATATGTACATTCACCGAACTATTTATCTTGAGTATTACAAAAGTTGCATTTGTGGGAAAGTTCAAAATTTTGAATCAAAACCAATGAGAATTCAATAATGCTTATGGGAGAGTTCAAAGATTAGCTAACATTATCAATATTTTAAATTCAATGCTCTGATTTTGTTGTCACAATCAGAATTATTTGACAATTTGTTTTGTGTTTCTTCTTTAGTGGTTGTTGTATTTGCTTTTGTCATCCTTTTTTTTTCTTTCATTAGACTAATTTATCATATTTAGCTTATTGGTTGGACGTGGATATTTAATGGTGAAATTAGTATCTATTATATATAATGTGTCAATTGAGCAAATATATTTTTTATATTGACGAAGATAGATATAATCGTTAATCGATGGAGAATCCGTTTCTCAGTGTATGTGGTTATAGATAATCTCCGATGGTTAATTTGCGGTTATGGATTTAAGTAATTTTCGTGGTTATGGAGATGAATATAGTATTTCCGTCCTCAACCGAACTGTTGCATCCTTATCGTAGATATGCGCTTACTGAAGTTCAGTTTTTCATTAAAAAAAGATCACGTTTTCATTGGCCTCTTAACCTATACATACATATATGTGTATACTTAATACAATAAGTGATCCAATTTCTTTTAGTATAATTTTTTTTGGTAAAATATAACTTTTTATTATAAACACAAACCTTACATACAAGCATGGCCCAAAACTAACATATAAACAACAAAAAATGGGCCAAAACTACATAAAACACAAAAAGAGCCAAGAAAGAGTTAGGCCCATAAACCAAAACACAGTAACATAACCCGGAAACTTCTACTGCTTCCGCCACCACAATAGATCTTCCCAATCCATCCAAATCCTCTTCCATAGCCAAGCAACGCCTCACCAAACGCCACATCCAACACCAATTTGCTTCCCAAGCACACCATAAAGTAAGGATAGCTAGCAACTAAACAAGAGAGCCAGTTATCAAGATGAAGTCCATGGAAATTCACGAATGACACTTCTGATAACGCAGATAACAAAGAGAAAGTGGTGGTGTTGGAAACACCTGAGCTGGTGCAAATATCGGAGCTCTACATACAATCTCAGCAGATTGTAATGGCTGAAAATTGGAATATGGATGAACAAAGAGGAGGGAAACTGTTAAGGAAAGAGAAACCGAACAGATCAGTATAACAACCAAGGCGGAAAAACCGTAGAAGTAAGGAAAAAAGAAAACAAGGAAAGAAAGGGGAGAATAGCGACCAACCCTAGCCTAAGCTATGGTCGGCGCCACCGGATTTGCTCAAATTTGGAAGCCTCACACAAAGAGATGAGAAATACTCTCAAAAAGAGAGAAAGACTCTTCACTCGAGAGGGACACATGGCACAATTTCTTTTCATTGATGTAATACTTTATGTTTAATTACTGTAGAATGTAAACTGTTACAAGCAAATCTCCTCACAAATTCACACTGCTGGACACATGAACTCCAATTTTAAATATACACTTCAAATTTCATATTTCACTAGTTACTACAGGATATATGAACATAAACAAAATAATTCTCTCTGTTCCTAATCCTTTTCTCTATGTTCTTGGTGAAGTTCAAAGTAATGATATTACATAAAGATGTGGGTTAGGCCAATCGACTAGGGCCGAGTGCTTCATCATTTGCACCCACGTTCGGATTCTCCTTGCCTGCAGGTTGAACTAGTTTAGAACATATATTGTCTTGTCAGATTTGGCAACATATTAGATAACTGAAAGCCGATCCATCCACAAGCTCAAACACAGAGAACTTCCTCTAAAATTTCATCAAAAATTAAGTCCTCCAGCTCAATCCCTAAGCACTCAGAATCAAACTGGAGGTTCATCCATCCGTCGTTCTTCGCAAGATCCCTGCTCACAACATAATCCAGTGATTGATCAACCTCAGGTCTCAAGCACAAGTACCAACTCACAAGGGCCCAAACTTCCTTTAGAACATGGTGCCTTGCCGGCATTAGAGGAATGTGACATAGTGAAGACAACGCCATTGGACAGTAGTTGTATGACCTACCATATATCTCCATCAGCACCTCATTGATCATATCAAACAAAAGATAGTGATCGCATTTCTTGCCTTCTTCGTTTCCTGAACAATCAGGACCATGCACCAAGCAGCCCTCCGTGTCTCCATACATCAAAGGATCAACTGGCTGGTCATCAGAATGCCATGTCCCAAGGGACTCATTCCCATTGAATCCAGATTGCTTCAACACATTTCGTACGTAATTGAATTCAGCCATGTCTCTGTCATCAACACGGAGATGAGTCATGTCATACCTCAAGTGCTTCCTTGGACTTTCAATCTTCTCTGTATCTATGTGAACCGCCTTAGGCGTACCAATAACAAAATCATGCCCTAGCTTGGCCAAGTTTTCTTGTTCATCTCTAGGTTTTATTTCCGTTTCTTCTCCTATAAAATCGATATCTATAAGCATAGTCGTTTCAGCCTTAAAATCTCAACAATTGGTGATTGATGCAGGAGAATACAAAGAACGACTTACATTTGAAACACATTTTCTACACTGAAAAAAGTCGGTTTGATCATTTTTTTTTTTTTCAGTCAAAAGTTGGTTTGATCATTAAGTGCCAAAACTTGAAACTAAAAAATCTGATAATTTCTGGACTTATAGATTCATTGAACATAAAGTTTCTCAGAGCAAACAAGAAATTAAAGTTTTGAAGAATGCATGCAATTGGTTTGAGATGATGTAATTTAAGGTAAAACCTATTAATAAAAATTAAGACATACCTTCGGAGAGGGAAACATTGAACTCGGGCACAGAGATAGGAAACGGTTCTGTCAAGTTTTCAATATCGTCAACAATTGTATACACTGGAGCACTTTTCTCACTGTCTGCAACTGATGTTGATGCCATCTTATTCCCGGAAGCTGCCTTGAATTCACCAACATCGGCCAATTTTTTAATCTCACTTTCTACTGGCGCATCGAGCTGCATATGATATTCTGAACCTATACTAAAGTCTAGAGTATTTTGTTCATCAGAAATACTTCTTCTGCTTGCACTGTCATCCACAACAGCCCTAATTGGAGCTCCAGAAGAGAACACATCTGAAGATTCCTCACTCTGATAGTTATATGATTTCATTTCAGGCAAGGAAAAAATCCTCCCCAACGTTTTTGGGACAGAGCGTAAAGGTAAGCCTACCCCTTCATTTCTCAACTTCAATCTCTCGGATGTCGTATGGCATTTGGCTTCTCTGTTGCAACTAGACTCGTAAAACTCACAGTAATTATCTAGCGATGCATTGAGCGATGATGCTCTTCTCATGTGGCGCTGTTGCTTTTTCTTGAAGGTAGAAATCGAACATTCGCTATCAAAACTGCTTGCTGAACTGTCTTCACCTTCTCTATTCATTGCAAGGTCCTTCGAATGGTTAATGACCTCTTTCTCCATTTCTTTAGCAAGCTTTTGGCCATGAGGAACCTTGTGGAGGATGGCATCCATGGCAATCATATTTCTCTCTTGTCTGCTCTCCTTGATTACATGCTTTATTTTCTGTCTAAAATCCTTGAACCGCTTAATTGACACTTGATTCTCACCTCGGCTCCTCAAATTTTTGGCAGAACTAGAACTATCAGCAATTGTTTGGTTTAGCTCTAGAATCCCATCCGCAGTGTGCTCACTGATCGATGGAATTGAGTGTTCACCAGCATATTTCAAAGAAGACGACCCTACTAACTTCTTCGTTTTACTGATGTTTTTCGACTTGCTTTCTTCTTTTAAGGGAGACCCTGTCAACTCATGCTTGTGCTTGAGCTTGACAGGGAATGAGTCTGACCTAGTTAAACCCATTTTTGCACTGACAGCTTGCTGATTATTGAAGTGCGCAGCCAAAGGAGAGCCGGGGTCATGTAAAATCTTTACTAATAACTCCTTGTTCACATTGATTATATCCAAAGCCTCCAAATACTCCTTCGGATGGTGCAAGGAAGCATCTGCATCGAGTTCTTTTACGTTTATCAACTTCTTCTTGAACATATCTTGCATTCTGTCATTATTCAGCTTTTCTTCGATAAATGTGTGATCCCTTTGATTCTCATTAACCTGGTCATGCACGGTGCGATCTCTAGTGATTGGTGGGAAACTATCTCCACAACAATCATTGTTGCCACTAATTGGTCCTTCATATGATGTCGCGGGCGGTGATGCCAGATTGCTTGTAGCACAAGATTTTTCATTGCCGTGGTGAACAATTGTAGGACTATTCTCATTCAATACCATTTCAGCAATCGGGTGCAGGTTAGTTGGTGCTTCGAAATGATGCTGTTTCAATTGTGATTGTACAGGGTAGCTCGAACTCCGGTTATGCCTACCCTTCTTCTTTGATATTTCTCCAGAAATCCGTGCCCTTATTCGGGCCTTGACAGAATGTATGCCTGTTGGAATGGACTGCATCGTCTTTCCTTTACACTGATAAAATCAAATCAAATGTTGCTTTTGTCTATCACTCTTTCAAGTATAATTTTTGAAAACGAAAAGAAATTAATATCCAATAGTGGACTAAAATGCATGCTATCAGAAATTCTTTTGCTGAAACTTACAGTAGATTCGTCAATCTTAGCATCAGTGTCTTCTGGCATACGGGTATTTGCAGTACAGCTTCCCAGAATCCCAACTCCTGTGGCGAAGCAGACCGAAAGAAAAAAAAGTCCCAACATAAATAAACTGCAATATTATTTTACATCACATATCATGGCATAGTCACAAGTTCCAGTCAGTCTATTGAACTACTTACAAAAGTGAACGAAATTTAGGCTACCAGTGCAGTAAACAAGACCGATTCTTATGCACATAGATCGATTTTATACACAAAATTTGCGTATATGGTCAAAGTGGCTAAGATTAAACTTTGATGAAAAAGAAAGCAGGAAGAAAAACTTTCATATAGTATAGACTGGAGTCATTCTACTTACCGATAGTGTGTTTATTACCGCGGCGCCTCTTGTGCACTTGTCTTTTCTTGACATAATGCCAGTGGTGATACTTCATGATGTGAAGTAATCCCCAAACGCACCCTGATGAATGCTCATTCCCTGATGGATTGTTAGGGTTTTTGTCTCTCAAATTCTTTCCCATGGTAAAATTCACCTCCCAAATCTACTTGAACGACCAGTGACGGCTTCAGCTACAAGCTCGTAAAACCTATATCCAAATTACAAGCAAAAATGAATCATCACGGACAAGGAAATGGAATTCCACTGTATTGGCAACATAACGTGTATCAGATATCGAACACCTACACATCAAATTCAGAATGCTTGACATACATTATTCAACCATTAAAGAAGCAATTCTACTCATAAGCGCTTTTATTAGAAGCAGCACTTCAACTGTGCTTCCTGGAAAAGCACTTGAAAGAGAAAGACCTAAATTTATATGTTTTTCTACCAAATGCATTCGTATCTCAAACATGCCCCTAATCTACCCCGAAGCACAAATTAAAGCTAGCAGCAGCATTTCCTTTAATTGTTTCAGAAGGCATTTCCTAATCTAAGTTTGAATTTGATTGATGCTCCCAGAAATATATGGGAAACAAAACATGCATCCAAATCAGTTTTCTGATTAAAATAATTTTCCTTGAAATATATGGGACTCTGATTCATATGAATGACGTCGAAATTGATATCAATCAAGAGAAAAAACCAAAAAGAATACGCATAATTTTATATAGTTAATCGTATTTCGTACCATTGATCGAATGGATGATTCATGATCGAGGGCTAAAACGAAATCTATGCTCCTCTTCGCAGCAGCCATCCATACGAACGTTTAAGAAACAAGAACTAAACAAGCTCGTGTTCGTGTTTGTCTGTCCGTAGGTTGAAACTTGAAAAGTGCATGCCATGCGATGAGACAATTAATTAAGTAAATCCTCCTGTGTTTTAGCCTTTAGGTTTGGGACTTGGGGTCCAATGGCCTCAACTACTCCACATCAGCAAGTGTTTAAAGCCTTAACGAATCTAATAACATTATCCAGGATATTCTTCTAGAAATTGTCTTGCTCTTTAATCATCAATAAAATCCTATCGCCGGAAAAAAAAAATAGTAACAATCCATTTGGATTGAATTATATAAAAAAAAAAAAAATTTCAATTTGACAATAAGATTAAGAGTACATTTGAAATTAATAACAAGATATGCTTAGGGGTGGTTTTGGTACATTACCGTACCAAAATCTTTGTACCAATTACCATATCAAATATTTGGTAAGGTAAAATCTATTACCATTACCGTACCGAATTTGTGGTATACCGAATAGTTTGGTTGGTATGGTATGCCAATAGTAATTGCCGTTTTGTTTTACGCCATTTAGTTTGCTCAAAATCTAATATTTTTTAATTATTGTAGAAGTGTAAAAAATATAGAAAAAAATATATAAACGCTCGTAATAACAAATTTTACAACTTTTGTGACGAGCTTAACTTTGAAATTCGTCATTATAATCATATAAATCACAGATCAAAATTTAACCATTGATTGTTGTTTACATTTACGCTTCATTTTTCTCATCAAATTTTATTTTATTTTTTCGGATTTTCTTTTTTGAAAACATGATCTATTAGAGGATGCATGAAGGTGAACAGTTTGGATCGTTGATATTATGTTCAGAGTTTTACGGTTATTGAAAATATTGCTTGATGTTTATAAAGTTTCTACAAATTATACGACATCAACTCATATTTCAGTTAACCATAAATATCGAAACGTGATATCAAAGATCTGAACTGTTCATCTTCTTACATTCGCCAGATGATCATGTTTTCAAAAAAGAAAATTTAAAAAATGAAATTCAGTAAAAAGAATAAAGCATAAATGACAATCGATAAATTTAAGGTTTAAGGATTATAGTGTTGGGTTTTGAAGCTGACATCTTCATGAAAATTGTAAAGTTTGTCACTATGAGTGATTGTATATTCTTGTTTTTACATTTTTTACACTTCTACAATAATTATTATTAATTTTTCCCTCAAATAATTATATGAATAAATACATAATATAATATTAATAATATTGATAGGTACGGTATACCATCGATACTGGTTTTGGGTACTAGCACCATACCGAAACAGTATGGTACGGTACAAATACCGTAGCATTACCAATTGGTACAAATTTTTGGTAATAATATGGTATGGTTGGTAGGGCAGTTGGTACGATTATTTGGTAAAAATTTCCACCCCTAGATATGTTGTATCGAAAATGATTTTGAGAATAGATAGATTTGGGATGAATCGTTTACATAGGTGATGTTGACTGTCCAATACTTATTAAATTTAATTGAAATCACTTGTCTGAACTGGATGCATGATCGACTAGTCTAATAACATGCATATTATCTAATGTTAAAATTTCATCTGAAGAAATTTGATAAGTATACAGTAACAAATCCATGATTTGAATCTTTGAGCGTTTCCTAATATTAAATATAAGTTTTTTAGACATTAACAGAGCGGGAAGTGCGCAAAAAAAAAAAAAAAATCAATTTATTCACTTGGTGAGTTTGTTTGCACATGTCAACAAATATCGACATATGTTGAAACAATCTGATGAGTGCTATAGAGAGAATTTGTCAAGTGTTGTCGACGTAACATGTTGAGGTATGCTTGAAATGCATTACATCAAACATTTAGTAAGCACAAAAGGATCCGTACCAAACATTTGAAGTGTCCTTGAATGACCTTCACATATATATTTTCCGAACACCTTGCTCCCTATTTCCATACCCTCCTGCACATATAAATATATATATATATATATATGGGGACTTGTGACACTATTTTTTTTTAACGCAACTTTTGGCACACGTTTTTATGGAGCCTAGTCTGTATTGTATTTTAATGATTTAAAACATCTATCTTTTGGAACATCATTCATAGATCATCCTTTGCAAAAAATTGGACATATCGAAAACAAGTAAGACATTTATCTGTATTGAAGAAAATCAACGAATGCGGTTCCACAAATAAACCCTAAACTTTTAATCTAATGGTCATATAGTTTCAAATGTGAGTGATTTTTAGTAGACATGATCTTTGAGGGAAAACTTAAAATATAGACGATTCGGATCGTTAAAATACATTACGAAGTAGATTTCGCAAAGCATGCGTAAAAAATAATATACAAAAAAATAGTGTCACTTATCCGTCCCTATATACACACACTACATATGATGTAAAATGATGAGTATATGGCCATGGAATGAAGTGTTTGCGTTGTGTAGGCTGTGGAAAATCTTGTCGCTTTGCTTTATTCTTTTTGTCTGGCTGTCAATATTTTGGATGCAAGATACATTGCTAATTAAGTAATTAATTAATTTCACCTTAAACAAAAAGTACCCTAAAGTCACACTCCCAGTCCACTTGCAACAAAGTCAACTTCGTATTTTAAGTGTAAGAACCTGAAAATATACATAACGTAATATAAAAACGGCATGAGTGGAAGCATGGGGTTTCTACTTGCTACATAAAAATTCAACTGAAAAGTTTGAACTTTTTCATTTAAAAATATAAATTTGGAGGGATTCGGATATGTTCTTTTTAGGAAATTTTTATTAATCGTTTACACTATAACGACATCATATGGATTTAAAAATCAAACAAGAAATACAGTAGAGGACACCATAATTTCCTAGTTTGGATCTTACCAAATGAATAAAATTATTATTTTAGAATTATTTTCCATAAATTAAATGATCTGAAAATTAAAAAGACACTAAACAATTGATGAATTACAAATACCTTAAAGAAAAAATTGCACAAATAATTCCTGAAATTTTCACATTTTGTGCAATTATTTTATTTTTAATAAAAATATAACATTTTTTTTTAACAAATGATATTATCTACACTAAGAGGAGAGTTAGCTGCGCCTTACAATAGACGAGTAATAATGGGGTTCAAATTTGCTTTATGTGAGAATCTAGTTTAAAATCTCGCACTTACAAGTGAAGTAGAATATCATTAGACCGTATTATTTAGTGACAACATTTTTGTTAAAGAAGTTCACTTGATTAATTATAAGAAAATTTAGTTCAAATGGTAATTGCACAACAGTGAAACAGTTCATGTGATATTATGATATTTTTCTTTATATTAACTTTTAAATTACAAAAGTATTCTCGCATGCTAACCACTATAGGATCATTACCTGATTTTGTAGAGTTCCAGAACTTGAACAAGCATCCCCATGAATTACAATTGTTTCACCAATTTGTGTTATAATTGTTAAAGAGTATAACTTTTAATGTGACTTTATTAAATTTTTCTCTTTTTGAAGTTTTAAATCACAAAATAATTCATGCATGTCTGTCACTGCGTAATCCTTATTTTATGTTTTAAAGTGACAAAACCTGAATAACCGCATGCATGAATTGCAATTGTTTTGTGAGTACATGAGGTAATTGGAAAATGGTATAACAATTAATTTGATATTTACTAAAATCTTTAATATTTGATATTTTAAATCACAAAGTCATTCATGCATGCCTTATTGTTACTTGATTTTGCAGTAACAGTTGTTGAACAAGTAACTGCATGACTTACAATTGTTTTGTTAGTTGGTGCACTAGTTGCAAAACAATAGAACAATTCACGTGATATTTATTAACTTTATCTATTTTATAAGTTTTTAATCACTAAAGTTCATGCATGTCTGTAAATGTATATTTTTTATTGCTAAATTGTGTAAAGTGACATAGAACCTCCATCATAATGTCAAATGAAACTACCCATGCAATTGTGCACCGTGTGAAACGTTGATCATCACCGTTCTTAATTGAGACTCAGGTTAAGCTTCGTCTCGGAAACTTGTGGGGCTAGGAGTAAAGGTTGACGTATCTCGTTGGATGTGGGGACGCATTGGAAACCCCAATTTCAACAACCACCTACATGAATTACAATTGTTTCGTTATTCAGCCTGGTATTTGATTTGAAATAATGAGATATTTATTTACTTGGAATGATAAAAGTCATAAATCGAAAAAGAGAATGAAGGCATAGATATTGGATCAACTAGTCATCCTAATTGATCCAACTTTGATTTTTCAAGTATTGAATAACTTACTTTAATGTGGACCTCACACTATTTTTATTGCATATGTGTTAGTAAATAAAAGAAAAAAGAAAATAATTTCAATACCATTCCATTTAAGCAATCATACAATAAGAGTTGTTAAGAGAAAATAGGGATTTAGGGCCTTTAAGAAAATGATGAAAATTAATTTTAAAAGGGTTTAGTAGTGTAAATTGAAGGGAATACTTTTTAAAAATGGCTTTCACGCTTGTCACATGACTATTATTTGACGAAAACGTGAACGACAATGAATAGAGGTATTGAAGTGTTAAATGGCATGAACTTCAACTGATTAGTTTTTAAAATAATTTGTTCAAGCAATAATTGCATAACGGCTGAACAATTCACGTGATATCTCTGAAGTTTTCCTCGTTTTAAGTTTTAGATTACAAAGTCATTCGTACATGTTATACATCTTTACCTGATTGTGCAAAATGACACAAAAACTCAACAACCGCCTGCATGAATTACGAACGTCTGGCTATCGGCTTGTTGACTTTAGAAAATCAATAAATTTATTACTTTTAAAAAAAAAAAAAAAAAAAAAAAACTCAAAATCCCACAGTCTAACTCAAAGGACACAACTCCCCAACTCGGAGTCAACTCCCTCTATAAATATTTAAAACAACAAAACCTATTTTTATCTATTTAAACACCATTTCAGAGGAAGAAGAAGAAAAAAATAAACAAATAAACTGAAAGCCCACCACCTTCAGAAGGTCAACCCTTTCCCCCCTCCTCCTCTCTCTCTCTCTCTCTCTCTCTCTCTCTCTCTCTCTCTCTCTCTCTCTAAACAAAAGACATTTATTTGCGACTTCCCTCGTTCCCTCCTCTGTTCGAGCTGTTAGTTGAGTTCTAACCATGAACAGTTAAATTTAAACCCTGCAAGTAATCAAATCATCAAAAACCCAATTCATTTCATTCATTCTTCTTTCTGTTCTTTCCGCTTTTTGTCTCATCTCGAATGGGTAACGCAGTCGTAAAAGCCGGCCGTTGTTTCTGCACCGCCGGAGAAATCTCCCAGCGACACGACAACTCCGTCGTTTCGTCGGACCCGCTCGACGAGGGCCTAGGCCATTCCTTCTGCTACTTCCGGCCCGACTCCTCCGATACGACGTCGTCCAAAGTCTTGTCCGAAGAGCCGAACCCGCCAACGACGACATTCCGGTCAATCTCCGGCGCCTCCGTCAGCGCCAACATATTCACGCCACTTTCGACTTCTCTCTGCGAGCTCTACCCGTACAGCGCCGGCTGCGATCGGGCGGCGAAGTTCGAGAGCTCGAACTCGTTCGCCTCCATTCCTCTGCAGCCGGTTCCTCGGAAGTCATACCAGGGAGTTTCCGGGTTGGGTCCGATCGAGAGAGGGTTCTTATCGGGTCCTATAGAGCGAGGCTACTTGTCTGGCCCGATTGATCACGGGATGTATTCGGGTCCCATCGAGAAAGAGTGCGACAAATTCTCGAGAAGCATTTCTTTTGGGATTGAAACGAAACCAAAAATAAGGAGCTTAATGAAGATTTTCAGAAGAGCGGTTTCGGGTGCCATGCTTCGGGGGCAGAAATCGAGCGTTTCGCCATTAAAAGGCAGCATTTCAGTGAAAGATTCGGATTCGGAGAAGGTGGGGGAGAATGGGACTAGCAGTAGTATTAATTTGAGCAGCCGTGTGAGTTTGAGTAATGAGAATGACGATGGTGGGAGTGGACATTACTGGATGGGAAGCCAGAATCTTCAATGGGCTCAAGGGAAAGCCGGCGAGGATCGGGTTCATGTGGTGGTTTCGGAGGAACATAGCTGGGTTTTTGTGGGGATTTATGATGGGTTTAATGGCCCTGATGCTCCTGATTACTTGCTTTCCAATCTTTACTCTGCTGTGCACGAGGAACTCGAAGGGTTGCTTTGGAATGACAAGTTCCAAATTGCAATTGAACCCGAGTTAAATTCATTGAATACGGATGTGGGTTCGGTTTCTTTGAAGGAAACTGATCGAACCCAGATGGGGAATCGGATGCCTGACGGTGTCGATGGGGGGAATTATGCATTAGAAAATGGCGAAATGGAAGGAAAGGCTAATTCAATAAGAAAACATAGTAATGGGTTGGAAAATAAGTTGGAGGGGACTCGGAGGAGCTGGAAGTGTGAATGGGATAGAGGAAGGCCAGAGCTTGATCGGAAGTTACAGCAGAATTTAAAGCGTCCAGTGTCGAATGGTGTGGCGGGTGTTAACCCTTCTGATGTTCTTAAAGCGCTTTCGGAGGCATTGAGGAAGACAGAGGATGCATTTTTGGACACTGCAGATAAGGTGGTGACTGAGAATCCTGAGTTGGCCTTGATGGGTTCTTGTGTTTTGGTAATGCTAATGAAGGGAAATGATGTTTACTTGTTGAATGTTGGGGACAGTAGGGCGGTTTTAGCTCGGAAATCGGAACAAAATGTTCGGCGGAACTTGGATCGGATTAGTGAGGATGAGCCTTCATTTGATTCATCAAATGCTGATGGAAGTTCCAGTTTAAAATATTTGACTGCACTTCAGCTCACCATGGATCACAGCACACATGTGAAAGAGGTAAATACATCACCTAATTGGAGTGCATTTTGTGCTTAATTATCTGTTGTTATGGTTAATTTTGAGACTAATTAAAGTCCTTTAAGTTGCAGGAAGTACAAAGAATCAAGAAAGAACATCCAGACGATGCTTCTGCGATAACAAATGACAGAGTGAAAGGTTATTTGAAAGTCACTCGAGCGTTTGGAGCTGGCTTTCTCAAACAGGTACATTTTGACTTTATGCTTAACAGGAATACAAGACACTGGTTCATTACTTGCTTAGCAAGTCAGAGTGTTACAACATTTGGTTTAGTAGAAGTAATTTAGACATACATGTCACATGTACGAGAACTGTTTGTGGTCACAGAAATGCAATTATTCGTCATGTCACACAACTTAATTATTTGTTCTGTTGCAGCCAAAGTGGAATGATGCACTGCTGGAGAGGTTTAGACTCAAATATGTTGGGACTGCCCCCTACCTCACCTGCAATCCATCCCTCTACCACCACAAACTCAGCCCGAGAGACCGGCTCTTAATATTGTCTTCTGATGGACTCTACCAGTACTTCACTAATGAAGAAGCCGTCTCTGAAGTAGAATTGTTCATCTCTTCATTTCCCGATGGAGATCCTGCACAGCATCTCATCGAAGAAGTGTTGTTTCGAGCAGCAAAGAAAGCTGGTGATTAAAGCGTTTTTCTCTCGACAAACAACAATTCAAAGCTGCAACTATTTTATTGAAACCTTGAACTTAATCTGTATATTGGGGTTTTGCAGGAATGGCATTCCATGAGTTGCTAGATATCCCACAAGGGGAACGCCGACGGTACCATGACGATGTTTCCATCATTGTGATTTCGTTGGAAGGAATAATATGGAGATCATCAGTGTAAATAAACATGAAAGCTGCAATAGGAAATTCATCCACAGAAGGGTTGGGTCGATTTTTCCATTCATTGTTTTAATTGCAACAGTTTTTCCCATCCCTTTGTTGCATACCCATTTTCCCTCCATTTATGTCATGCTGTGGAGAACAGAAAAGTCTTGAAAGAGAGTTCTTTGTTTTGGTCCCATAATGTCTATACAAAATAGTGTCCCTTTTGCTTCCCCCAAGTTCTAAGAGCACTGTGAGAAACAAAGAAGATTTCTTCAACCTGTCTTAGTGGCCATAGAGCGAGCTGTAAACTCAATTCTATGTTCTAACCCTTGCCAATCCAAAAAATACTCGTGTTTGGCTTGCATTTAATTGTTGAACTATTCAAAACAAAATCATAATGATATATCAATCAAATATTAACGACATTATCGATGAAATATCGACAAACACTTGAAAAAATGATCATTTAAACATTTGAGATTTATTTCATTATTTCATTATTTCATCCGATTCCGTAACGAGTTTTATAACAAGGGATAGTACTAGCCAACAAAAGCAACATAGATTTCATCAGTCTTTTTTCTGTTCATGATTCCCTGACAAAGGAAAGAAAACAGAGTTGTTGGGGACAAGAAGTTGAAGAAAATGTTGATCCTCTCATGGACACGAAAAGTCAACATCTTACACAGTAAGAATCTTAGGATTAGGAAAGATGGAGCAGTTGATGTGAATTAAGATTCTTAATCATGTTTGTTTAGTTCAAATCCAAATCTAGAACTTGTACATACATCATAACCAACACCTTTCTGAGCTATTCCAAAGACCTGGAAAAGAAGAAGCGTATTGGGTTAGGTATTTGGCTGAATATATGACCCTCCTCCATCTCCCGCCGTTTCTGGTTAGGTATAAATATAAAAGATATATGAGGTTTTCCCCCCTTTTAGACGGAGATTCAAAACTCTGTTATGCTATCGCATGTGGTGTTGAGAGATTTTTTACTAGAACACATGATGTTACACTATGTATCAGTATACAAGTTGTGAGATACTTGTGTTAAAAAATTAACAACGTGAAACATAAAATTCCCCTCTACCCATATAATAGCAATGGTGTACCACCCCTGGATAATGAAATTCATCTTTTAATGATGATGTACCCTTGTTTTACTGTACAATCAAAATTGCTTATTTTCTTTATCACCATCACAATTTACCTCTAAAAAATTTCATTCAATTTGTAAACCGTTTAGTTATTCATTTGTGTTGAATAAATCGATAGTTATGGTAACAAGTATCATTTTTATTACTATATGTCAATTCATTTAATTCATATAGATGATTAGACCGTCCCCAAGTCAAATGATTTTTTAAATGATACTAATAGTTTTGAATATGATATTTATACGGTGAAATAACGTTCCGCGGTTATTGAATGAAGAAGTTTGAACCAAGTGTTGTTTAAGGGACAACCTCAATATAACAAATAAAAAAAATTACATTAAACCGCAATATTGGCTCATTCGTCATCCTACCATTAAGCTAATTTCTATGATTTGACGTGACAGTGTACGATCGAGAAAAACAATCTTAAAAATCAGATTTACTAAAAACGTTATCGTTTGTCAAATAAAAAAAAAAATCAATTTAAAACAAAATTATATGTCTACAAGAGTGTTTGTCAGTTTCACTTTCAAGATTTTAGTTTTGATCATTTTAGCTAATTCCTATAAAAAAATCATTCAATTATGTGTACCAATTGTCTGTTTAAAGAAAAAATATTAATACAAATCTTCTGGAGAGAAGTAGACATTATGTGTTTAGTTTTCTTGTTATTGTTGTTTTTTTTAATTAAAAAAAGATGACAATTGATGACAAGCTATGATTATATATTTTTTTCGAGTCCAGAGAGATTATGGAGAATTGGATTATACCCGTGATCACAATCAAGCAGACTCACTAACTCGAAACATCGAACATGAAATCTCTCTTCTTTTTTTTTTTTTGTTAATTGGGAGTCACAATTCACGCCCTCAGGGCCATTTGGTGTGGTTTGTTTGAATAGTATGAAAATGGCAGAACACGTGAAGATGAAAACGATGGTGAATGACAGACAAAAAAATAATCTTTTACGCGTTTTTTCTCTTATTATTTATGTTGCATTCTGACTTTGCTTATTTTCAAACTTCTAAATTGTTCCTTTTCAAATAGTCCAGATCACGGAATTAAGATAATTCACCAAAACTTTTGTGAAATTAAATTAGAATTTAACACTTTGAATTTGAGCAAGTCAGTGGATAGGTTTATAAATAAATGATATAGTTTGGTATTGAAGAACTAAAGTCAGAGATACAAACTCAATTATTTTATCAGTTAGGTTTTTTTTTTTTTTTTTTTGAATTTAAATTTTTTTTTTTGGCTGGACTTTTATTTTCTACTTTCTTGTCAAGCTACTATAGTCTATCTGTGAATTGTCTTAACGGATAGGTTCTTTTTTGAGTAATTTGCAATGAGAGAATGCTGGATTATTACTGCAAAATAAAGTGTCATTAGGAAGGGTTAAATGCTGTTGAAAAAAGCATTTTACCGTCGTAAATACCTATTTCTGACTGGAAAAAGTTCGGAAATTGTCCCATTCAAAATACTTTTGTTCCGACCAGTCATCGGAATTAATTCATTTTCAAAGCACCTGACTCGTCGTTAATAGTTATATTTATGTCAAGAATGAATGATCAAAATGGCAAACTTGTTTTATTTACGAAATGGAAATGTGGTCACAAATACTTATATAGTTGTCGATTTACTTCTCAAACGACGACATATGTTTTTTAAACAATTGTGTCAGAAAATCTTTTTCCAACAAAATAATCTTTATTTACGAAAGTGCACAATCATCGCAATTACAATTACCAACCATAAGTTTTTCATGTCCTTTGCTTTTCACATCCTCCTTCAATGCTTCTTTTGTATCTTGGGCGGTGAATCTAGATTAGCCTAAACAAGATGATGGTTTTGCTAATTCAAAGATCTCCTTCCCTCCAAAATGCAAAAAATCTGGGCCGTACACTGTGTTTAGTGTAAACGTACATGTTAGCATCATTAATCAGTGCCATTAATTTATCTACTGTAATTTGTGTTTACTATTTCCTTGGAAATGTTCAGAAATTGGCAAGTTCATCCATTTTGTTGTGTGAAAACTTTTGTTATGATTAGAGATTTTGCTTGTGAGTTAAGTACTTAAATGTATTTTGAAGATTTTCAAAATAAATATTTCTAAACCTTTACCTGTTAGTTATTGGTTATCCTCCGTGAGACAATGACTCCTGTGAAATTATCTCTCACTGAATTCAATTTATCTTGTAATTGAACAGCAAAGTTCTTTTCTGCCCATAATCTCGATGGATAATATAAAAAGAGGAGAACGATTGAAGTAAGCAAAAGGAGAGTGGAAATTTGAGACGAAGAGTATATATCATTTTGTATATTTTGATTGTATACAAGTATACGTTTTTCATGTACAAAATCGAAAAAACCTGAACATCTAGTGATTCAGGATGTTGAGGAGGGAGACTCTTGTTTTGATGAGTTGCCTAAATAGGCACTCAAGCCTTTCTTCCTGATCTTGAATGCATGACTCCAGCTTCTCAAGCTGGCTCTGCGCGTTATCTGCACTTCGGTGTAGTGCAGCATCCACTATAGCAAATTCATTAGCTTCTGTTTCTTCCTCACAGGCAACTTTACTTGACTGCATCATCTTCGAGACCAATGACCAGCTTCGTGGCTGGGATTTTGGCCCTGCTATGAAAGACAATAGTGATTCAAAAGATGTGAGAGTGATTGCCTTGACATCTCTCAACTTGCTAATAATGGCAACGGTCTCATTGTCCTTGTTGAGGGAAGATCCTTTGAGATTCTTCATTGCCTTTCGGATAGCCTTTTTCACCATCTTCCTGGAGCTCAAGTATTTCCTGACCTCAATTGTGAGTGCTCCAGATTCACCTCTTCGCCTTCTTATGATCGATTGAAGATCCTGTACGCATTCCTTGGTTTGTGACAGGGCATCCTTGATAGTGCCACAAATATCTAATAGTCTGAGAGAGCCATCTAAAAGTTCATTAGCGCATTTCTCATTCTGCTCCTGTGCCAAGACTTGTTGGGTGAGGGGCAACTGAAGCAACTTCTCGACGCAATCATGCAAGTCTTGGAGGCCGCTTAGTTTGTGGCTGATTGATGATGATGATGTGGAGGTGTCCTCGGAAGACCTCAATCTACACAAATGTTCATCAATTTCCTGAATGATGGGGTGTGGCCTAGAGGGGAAGCTGTTAGATCGAGTGTGGAAAGCCATTTCTTCTTTGTTTGTTGTGAGAAGAGAGAATAGAAGACCTTGAAAGTTTTGGTTAATGAACAACTGAGATTGATGTGTTCCTTTCCATTTGCATCTGCTTAATATATAGTGTTAGTTGAGGGAAGGGGACATGGAATCTCATCCGCTTCAGTCACCAGCCATACGTAACATGATTTCGATTTTGATCTATATGCTGTTCCCCAGGCAATGTCTAAGTGATGCATCTCCCCACACTAGCATACCAACTCATGAGCAGATTCATTTTTCATATTTAATCCAAGAGTATGCTATTAAAATCGAACAATCATTCAATAATTACAAATTAAAAAATGCATGCCATCGCACAATTAGCATTAATCCTGTATCTGCGAATACATTGAGAGGCAAAAACTATGCATCTGCACCATCCTTCTCATCGGCTACAAATTATAGTATTCTGATTAATATATGTGGTTACCATATTCATATTCTTTTCATGGTTGCAGGAGAAGGAGCAGGCTAGATCTGCAATATCGATTAATTTATGACCATGCATTGTGTTTGCATATGGTAAAATAATGTTATGTCGCAGACTCGATGAATCGGAGTGTCCCCTAAGCAGAACGAAAACCAGCACAATAATCGGAGTCTGCCATGCGAGCATCATTAAAAATTTAGTCCTAATAGATTTGTTATTTTAATTCTTTTTCTAATATTCTCCAGGAGATAAGTAGAGATAGGGTTAGGTTTGACATCCATTTGAATTTTCTGAAAACTTGATGTGTGAAAAATATTGTATCTGGAGCAAATTGTGGAGAAAATCTGAAACGTGTACAATACATGTACAAGTGTGAGCCTAAAGAATTATGGATGACCAATCTGGTACTAATCGAATTTTATTATCTCATCAACATGTTGAGAAGGAAGCTCTGGTTTTGATCAAATGCCGCAAAAGGTGTTTGTTTAAATATTCTAGATCTTGTATGCAGGACTCCAAATTTTTCAGTTGGTGTTGTCCATTCTCAATAATTTTATCAGATTCTTGGAGACAAACAAATGAGTATGAGACATTTTCAAATTCATTTGCATCTGTTTCTTCTTCTTTGCATGCTGACCATCTCGTCGGCTTTGATTGTGTCTTCGAACCTGAGATAAAACAGAAAGTGGATTCGAACACCGTCTGAGTAACTGCTTCCACCTCTTTCAACACGCTAAACATAGCCACATATTATGATTTTTATTGAAGGGAGAAACACCCTTCAAATTTTCAAATTTCGTAAGGTCTCGTGGTTTATCGCCTTTTTCCATCACCTTCTTGATTGTCAAGAATTTTCTAGTCTCACTTGCGATCTCAATTTTGCCTCCTCGTCTTCTACAAATGATCAATAAAATTTCTGTTGTGCATTCTTTTGTTTGGATCAAGGTATCCTCGGCCATGCCATGTCTCAGTTATCGAAATCCTTAAGGCCATTTAGTTTCTGGCTTATTTATGTGGACGACAAAAAGGCGGTTTCAAAAGTCCTATCAGTCTCTACAACTGCTCATCAAACTGTGAAACCAAAGCGTGTTTTGTAGAGGGAAAGCTATTTGAGCGCGCATGGCCACTTGGTTTCATCGCAGCCATTTTTTCTTGTTGAATGTACAATTCAGTCTAGTGATTACCTTTGTTGCATAGCATCTGCTTAATATATAAAAGAGGATGATGACTGACTATTCAAATATCATGTGGATAGTAGGAGACAGGAAGAATCTCTTCCTTATTAGATCTCAGTTATGTCCTTGCTGTGTTTCCCTACAACCAATTCTCCAACCCATCACCCATTTGTTTAATCAGTTCTTCCACATTTTATATCGCAGAGTGGTCCACAAAATATGCGGTGGACAAGTATGGTTGGTGATAGGTTGTTGATCTAGTGATGGGGAGACATCGCATAAACATCGCTCATATAGTTTTAGGATCCAGATCGAAATCACGTTGCTACTCAGTCGGGTCAGCTATAGACAGGACGCCTTGCCCGTCTCCTAAACTTTGTAATATATATTGAGTAGAGCCGAAGGTAAGGAAAGCAAACTCAAAGCCACAATTGAACGTTAAACTTCAAATTAAAGGCCTTGTCTTTTCCTACATAACAAAATGGCTGCCTACCACACTTGCTCAAACAGCTTGCCTTCATGATCACTCCCTTTCGTTACAGAATTCAATGAGCAGTTATGAAGATTAAAGGCTTCACCATCATCATCCATAAGCGATAGACTCAGTGGGCTTCAAGATTTGCACAAGTGCGTCGAAAGGTTTCTTGTTTTGCCACATTCTCAACAAGCTTGGCCCAGGATTGTGGGGACAAATAGATTAATGAACTGCTAGATGCATCTTTTGGGGCTCTTGGATGTGTGTGGAATCATTAAGGATGCCTTGTCGCAAACACAAGAACGCAAACATGAACTTCAGTCGATTATGCATGGAAGACGAGGAGATGACATGAGCTTCATGGCTGTGGTAAGGAAATACCTTGCCTCTGGAAAGCAAAACCAGAGACAAAAGCAACGAGAATATCCCAGTAGCTGTCAACATGTTAAAAGAATCAGATGCAGTCTCTGTAGCTGAGTTTGAATCTTTCTTGTCGTCTATTGCTGGTTCGAAATCAAAGTCAAGCCATTGGTTCTCCAAGCTGGTGCAGCCTAAAATAGTAGCTTGCGAGGAAGTTGCGGATACAAATGAACTCGAGAAAGTTCAATGTTTGCTCGAAGAATTGGAGGCAAAAAATCAAGATACATCGAAGAAGGAATCGAGGGACTATTTAGCCATTTAATCAAAACCAGAGTCTCTCTTCTCAACATATTCAACCATTAGGCATGAAAAATATGACGTAGTACAGTAGGATCCAATTTTGTAGAGATTAAACATACTTGTATATGAATTCAGATCCAAAAGCAACACAAAATATAAATGCTCTTTTTCAATTCTTTCTCCATCCCTTTTGTGTACAGTGATAGCGTTAGTGGGTTAAATAGTTAGTTGTTAGAGGGAGGAGAATCGGTGGGGATCAAACCTGCACTAGTTAGTCGTCAATTCTTTCTCCATCCTTTTTTTTTCCGTATACTCATGGTTCATGTTTGTTAAAATTGCATAGTAATGCTACACTTACTACGTAATTGTACTATCATTTGTATCATTTCTCTAATAGAGAAAAAACGGCCACCGTGTTGAAAATCAATGTCAAAATTAGGTATGGAAAGTTAGGCAATGTTAGGTATGGTTGAATAAAAAAAATTTAGGTGCAATTAATGTGTTTTGTGTGGTAATAAATAATCTTAGTTTAATCATTTGGTTTGCTATAAATACCCAAGTCCTCAAGCATTGTAAATCATCCAAGGAAATACAAAGCCTAGAGCTAAATAAGAAAAGCTTTGCTAATTAGTTTGTTTTGTGAGCTTGCTTTAAGAGTGTGTTCTATTTTCTTCTTCTTGGGATTATTAGAGTTATCTTGGATACTCTTCTTATTCAACAATTGGTATCAGAGCCAAGTCGGTCAGGGATCGGTCTTGGTAGAGCATTGGTTGTAAAGTCTCTTGAAATTCCGAGTATGCTCTGTGGTTGTAGTTTTGACTGATCTTCCACATCAGAAAAGGTTTCTTGAGATTATTGCTGGGGTTATCACAAACCTTGAGGGGGAGCTTCTTTGTGTCGAGAGTAGTGTATTACTCTGCACGGTAGTCACTCAAGCTTGTTCGGTGTAGTCAAAGTTTTGCCGATACGATGGGTGATCTTCAAGTTGTTGGAGGAATCAAGAAGCTCAACAACCAAAACTATAACACGTGGGCAACGTGTATAGAGTTTTACCTTCAAGGTCAAGACTTGTGGGAGGTTGTCGGTGGTAGTGAAGCTACACAACCGGCAGCGGAAGATGCTAACGGCGTCTTGCGGAAGTGGAAAATTAAAGCAGGCAAATCAATGTTTGCTTTAAAGACCACAATAGAAGAAAAAATGTTGGAGCACATTCGGGATGCTAGAACACCAAAGGAAGCATGGGACACTTTTGTTACACTCTTTTCGAAGAGGAACGATACAAAATTGCAACTTCTCGAGAATGAGCTGTTATCGATGGTACAACGCAACATGACGATTGCCCAGTACTTTCACAAGGTGAAGTCGATATGCCGCGAAATTTCAGAATTAGATCCAACAGCTCCTATTGGGGAAACCAGGATGAAGAGAATAATTATCCATGGTTTGAGACCCGAATATCGAAGGTTCATTGCCGCTATACAAGGATGGCCGACACAACCATCGCTTGTTGAGTTTGAAAATTTGCTTGCAAGTCAAGAAGCTATGGCCAAGCAAATGGAAGGAGTCTCACTGAAGAGTGAAGAGGAAGCGCTCTACACCAACAAAAGCAAAGGCAGCTTTAAGCAGCGTGCTGGTGGTAGATCTAAAAGAAATGGTGACAAGGAAAAAGGTCATCAAGGAGGAGGGAGTTCTCGGCCAGGGGGAGCTCCGAAGTATCACGGCAACCGTGGTCAGTCCCAGAATAATAAAAGATTTGAGGGCAAGTGTTACAATTGTGGAAAGAATGGCCACATGGCGAAAGATTGTTGGACCAAGAAAGAGCATGTTGAAAGTAATACTGCTACTTCCAATTCGAAGGAGAATAGTGAAGATGGCTGGGATGCTGAAGCATTATTCGCTACGGAGGAAGAAGAAGAATTAGCCCTCACGGTAACAACACCAGAACGCATTGACTACAAAAATGATTGGATCGTAGATTCGGGCTGCTCAAATCATATGACGGGTGATAAACAGAAGCTGCAAAATCTATCTGAATACAAGGGAGGTCGTGTGGTGGTGACAGCCGACAACTCAAGGTTACCGATAGCTCACATCGGTAAGACAAAAGTTAAGCCTCGATATAATTCCAACCAGGTGCCACTTCAAGATGTTTATCATGTCCCAGGAGTGAAGAAAAATTTGCTATCTGTGGCTCAATTGACATCATCGGGCCACCATGTCTTGTTTGGTCCAC